ACGAATTTGCCTCTGTTTTTACGTTGATTGAAGCTAACACTGAAATTTGTGTACCCTGCCGGCGGCAGCGATAAGTTAACTTCTCGTTACGCTAGTTACTTCACAACAACCGACCCGGAGGATGGTTGAGCAGTTTCAATTAAAACTTAATGCTCCTCTCTGTGCTTATTGGATTACAAGTGAAAGGTAGCTTTACACGAACAAGCATTAACAGGGCAACTTATTTTTCTTGTTAGTGCGAAGTAAAGGCAAGCCCTAATGGCTTAATTCAATGAACTGTGTACGTGTCTATTAGATTAAAATGACGTCATCGCATTCCTACCACCCGTGCCGATGATACAAATAGTTGATAGGTCTCCTTGAAAAAAAAACACTCATTCATAACGAGGACTGAATCCGTAACATTATTGACTTTGTTGCCTTAAAAAAAATATCTGTGCGAAATAAAATGAAACTAGCTTAGATGTATAGGGTAATAATATGAATAATTCAAAGGGTTAAATAATGTATTCCACCCTTTTTCAAGTCTTCATCTCGTCTCTTGAATTGGTCTATAGTTTGTGAACGAAATTATTCCATTAATTTGTTCCTTCTTTTTTTTAATTATAGCTTTACGGCTTTCGTTTCAGCTGATCGTCAACATTAAGGACATCGTTTGGTTTTTCTAATATCTAGCCTGTCTTTCTTCAGCTTTAATCTCTTTCATGTGTTTATTTACACACAACGAAAAGTTATCGTCGAAGTACATATACCACCTAAAACATTCTCATGTAACATTCAAATGCTAAGCTTCATTGTACAATTGTACATCGACCGACTGACCTTCTCAGATCAATTTTAGTTTAGTACTAAATTTTTAATCAATTCAGGGACGGAAAATTTACTCCGATATAACGTGGCAACCTATGTAAATGTCCAATTCACAGAATTGAATCAAACAAGGCAGTTACAAATTTCAATTTGTACACACGTACGAGATTTATTTACGCAAGGGATATAATACTAGCGGCTCGCCTTTCATTGGCTGGATGGTACTTCTTGGTATTAATACTTACGTACTAAAACTGACGCTAACATTTTAAGGGACCTTGAAATACATTTATATTTCGACTGTAACCGAATGGGGGATAGCGAACCCGTTGTTTCATAAAGCATTGAGAACTAAGAATATAATAAGCGCAATCGAACTTCGTCCTAATCCTAAAATCTTGTTTCTGTTTTCTCATACGATAGTCGCAAGTATTCCACTCAACGTGTTGAATTATAGCTATTAACGGGATTGTTACCATGTACCTTGTTTTTTATTTACAAGTGTCGTTCCGCGACCTGATACTGTGAGTATTGTGTGTCGGGAACAAGTGCGAGTGAATAGTGAGAACGTGACCAGTGGTAGGGGTATCGAACAAAATAAAAGACGACATCAGAGGGTAGCGTTATGTCTGCCAATTAAATTTACCCGCAATTACTTCAGTTACTCCGTGATCATGGCGCTTGCTCCGAAATATCAGAGACTCATAAAAAACAAGGTACATGGTAACAATCCCGTTAATAGGTATAATGTTAGTGACCATAAAAAAAAAACTTAAAATTTTCATATATCTACATAATTACGGATCTGATTATGTAGCTTCCTTCTATCTTCAAATGTTCGCTAATTACTCACACACCCTCTCTTTCGTAACCTGCTTGTTTCCTTAATTCGTTTTTACGTACCCACCTTCCCTACGTAATTAGGTTAATTTGACAGAGGCCGGAAACTGACTCCTAGTCGATAATGAATAAGTAACGAACGAGTCGCAAGCGCCATTTGCTACTCCAGTTACAAATTCACACAACGGTGATAAAGTCAACAATTATATAGTTATGGTATTAAAGTAAATTATTAAATTTCAAAACAAAATGTCCAAGAGCCTTCACCAATTTTTCGGCAGGTATTTGAGGCAAGCCGAAAACTTGTTTTTTTTTTTTAATTTCCAAAAATATATTCGAGGCAATATGTATTTGTTATTAGATGTAGTCCAATATTTACAGAATATAAAAAAAAATAAGCCAGACGATTTAGTTGAGGTTTTAATATTGCCAGATACGTACAAAAATATTTTGGAAAACATAAAATTTATTTGATGCAACTTGAAATTTTAACATGGTATTAAAAAATAAGATTCTCAAATTAGCTCAGACGAGGTCACGTGACAAAAGCCGGTTTCTATTTGAAATTTTGAAGTAAAAATAAAAAAACTTTCTGTTAAAAACGGTTTTTAATAATTGTGTTGTTTTGTGTGTGTTAAATAGATATATGTATTCATTGTGTCATTTTTTTTATCATAAAAATTTTGTTTATTAGTAAATTTTAATATAAATCTATAACATACTTCAATATTTAACATTAGTGCAAAAAAGTTGATTTTTTAACAAATCATAAGAGACATTTTCTATAGAAAATTAATTTTCTAAAATTAACGTCTAACGTAGTAAAGAAACGAATGATAACAAAAATCACAATAGATTTTTGATATCTCTGATAGCTCTGATGAAGGAGCATCCACGGAAGATGAATAACAATTTGTTTCTGACGTGGAATGAATTAAGCTTATATTTTTATACTCTTAATAAATCTTATATAAATATATAAGATTTATTAAGAGTATAAAAATATAATAAACTGTTATAGAATATTTTATCTCAATAAATCTGATACATAATTTGTTAGATCACCTGGCAGGTAGAAAATCTATCATTTTGAGTATCTTATTTTTGATTATAAATAACTAGCAAACCCAGCGAACTCCGTTTCGCCACCAGATAGCTTCGTTTTATGTAACATTTCGTTTTGTGATTAAAAGAAAACGATTTTTTTTTTAAATTTTTCCTGAATTTTCTTTGCTATAAACCTCACGGAGCCCGAGACCTTTCCAACGAATGCAAAACCGTGGAAATCGGTTCGTGCGTTCTGGAGTTATAGCGTCAGGAAGGAAAACCCGACTTTTTTTATATAGTAGATACCCTGTTAAAATTTCAAGTTGCCTCAAATACATTTTTTAAATATTTTTGTACGTATCTGGCAATATTAAAACCCCAACTTAATGATCAGGCTTATTTTTTTTATATTCTGTAAACATTGGACTACAAAATGAATAGATGTTGTATTTGTAAACTATTTTTAAAAGATATAGATACATATTACAGAAATTTTAACTGATATTACGAGGATTCGTATGGATACAGTATTATGATCGTTAGATACTGGTTGTTATCATTGTTATGATCCAGTTAAGACAATGTGACAAAAATATTGCTAATAGTAATTTATAATTTAATAGCCTTATTTTTTTTTAAATTGTCGTTTATTATTGCTGTGCAATTTTGTACTCCTACAATTTAATATTTTCTTAAAGATCTCAATGTTAACTTAATTGCAATGTGACTTATGGTAAATTAATGGAATATAAATATACTTATTAATACAGGAATATCTCAATAATAAATTAAATGAGAAGCTGACGAGAATCACGTGTTAGCTTGTTTTATTTTAATCTTTACCATTAAAAACCATGTTCAGATCATTATTCAGGAGATCTTTATTTGAAACCGCACGACGATTGTTTTTTTTTTATTTATTAGGTTTACCAGCAATTGTTACAATAATACATTGTAAATATTACAGCGATAGTACTATAGCTAAAAGCACAAATTATTTAAGGTAAACACCACATGCAAAGTAAATAATTACAAGTAACATTATAATTTCAAACTTACAAACTTACTTTTCACATTTACAAAATTCTGCCAATTTGTAAAGTTACATAATTTTAACATACTACAACATGGTCAATTGCAAGAGCTGACAAAATGTATTGAGACTAACAGCATAAATATCAATGGACTGATCCAATGAATTTAGAAGTCTACTTACTATAGGGACAAACGAACTTGAACCCAATACTGTCGTGCGAAAAGGTTGAACTAATGATTTTATTTGAGTTCTGGGTAATCTACGTAGTACATTAAATCTAAAGTAAATAAGAAGGCCAGGGCAATATATTTTATTGTTAAATAATACAAAAATGTAAGATCAAATATAATCCTACGATTTTCTAATGAAATATAATTAAAATGTTTTAATCTATCTTTGTATGAAAATCCTTTCCTACATTTGTTATTTAAGTAAGCTAAATGCCAAAGATATCTCTTCTGAATGCGTTCCAACCTCAGAGAGTGGCATGCATAGTGCGGTCTCCATACAACACTACAGTATCCCATAATGCTTAAGACAAATTAATTGTACAGCAGCCTTGATGAGACGACATACCAACTTTAAGTTGCACCACAGAGCCAGTTAAAGTAAAATTTTAAGGCTCTCGCTTGGACAGTTACTGTCACTTTCTAATTATGAATTCATTTAGACTATCGTCAAATAATACAAACAATTTTTACCTAACTAAAGTAAGTTGGCGCTACTCACATTAAGTCCATACGAAAACACAAAAAAGACAGCTGATACGAAAGGAAAATGTGCTGCTCAAGCCACCCTCACCTTGCCCAATCCTTCTACCCCATGGTGTACTAACCTTTCTTGTTACTACTCACTCACTGACAGTGAGTCGTGTGGTGTGTGTTCTTGAAGTTGCAATAAATGTCTAACTTCAAAGGATATAAACATGTTTCTTAATCGTTATAAATATGTAATAATGATTGTTAAAAGGATTGACTGTATTGAAAGAAAGAATGAAAACATTTATTGGTTACACAGCATACATTAAAAACAAAACAGAATAGAAAAATATAACAACAAAGAAAAAAATAAAAAACAAGAAAACTAATTGAAGGTGCTGCTGTGCTGGGCCAACAGGTCGCTGTCTCAGCTATGCTACTGTGGTAGTACTTTCGTAATACCACCGCGCAGTCACTAGGCGTTGATTTTCAGCCAGCGCCTAGTGACGTCCGAACACCAAACAAAATGCGAATTGTATGGTAGGTTAATCATTACAATAGGTACGTACTCAGTGAGGCAGGCACGGATATGCGGGTGACCCGCGAAGGTGCTCACGCGGCTGGCGCATCCACCTGTTGACAATTTACATTATAAAACATACGTATATAAATCATAAGTAACAACATTAAATGTACATTTGAAATTTTAAATTTAGGAAAAACTAGCTAACTATTAAGGGTGATTTATCGTTTCTTTGTTTATGATTTTAAAATGCACCATGCAACCGCGTTAACTTTAGTTTTTTAAGAATCGCACAGAAACCTACCCTTTTCCGTGATAAATGTCTTAAATCAGGTCAGGTGATTGAGTTACTCAATCACAAAAATACAAACTTTCACATTTATAATATTAGTACGATGTATGCTTATCGTCAAGCTAGCTGTCGCGTATAAGGGCATGTGTCAAGACAAAAAAAATATAATAAATGTGACAAGGAAGATAATTTACATGAATGGAAAGTAAGACTAATGGAAACAGTATACACATACAGCGTGAAATATTACATAGCAAAAAGAAGATATGAAAAAGGAAGTACTGGGAGGAAGCCCGTCGACAATGAAAGGGTACAACGTTTACGTCGACTCGAAACGAAATTGGAAAAAGGGCAGGGAAATTAAGAATGATATTTCATGAAAACATTTATGGTTCGCGCACACTATGTCGGGCCGCAACGCAGCGCAAAATGCTTACTTGGCACATCAGTGATGGGTCGGGTCGCAGCGCATTAACGGAGTTTGGCTACAGTGTACTGCCAGACGTCTGTGCAACTGTATGCACTTCAATCCGCTTGCTTAAGAGTCCTCCTCAGGTTCGAGTGGTCTAGAGGCTCCAGACGGAGAGGATACCTCTAGAAGCACTCGCCAATTCTCGGCTTGAGGTCCCCTTAGGATCTCGCCGACCGCAAAACCGGTGACGCTGTAAAGGTCTTCCGCGACCAACAGCATACACACTCAAAAAAAAAATTGCTAAACAGCACACTGTTTCGGGGTGCAGTGGGGCGGGCCGCATTGTCCGCGGCCCGCTGCGCCCCTGCATAGTGTGCGATAGTTCATTTAAAATACATACGTTTGCACTGCGATCCGACCCGCTGCAGCCCGACGTAATGTGAGCGAACCTTAAGCGCAGAATTTTCAATATTATGTATTAAGCAACATTTTCCTTTTTACATAACTCCCGTGTTGTTTGGAAGCGGGAGTTTGTTAAAACATTCAATACTGATTAATACATAACTTCTTTTATTTACTCATATGGAAATATAATACTAAACATCTACATACATACATCTAGTACATTTTTCAATATAAAATGGAAGTAAACGAAAGAAAATTCACATTTAACAATTGCGAGTTGTCAATTTAAACATTAACAATATGGCAGTAATGCGCACGTCAAAGTAGGTATCGCTGAAAATAGCTTAATATTAAAGATACCGCGAGTGCAGTATCAACATAACATCCATATCATTAATAAACGATTATGTGTCAGAGATTATGATATTTATCAAAAAATAAGTAAAGCATTATTTTCATTGGAAATATATTTCTCAGGAAAAAACCCATAGCATGATGAGTGCAAAACAATATGATATGGAGCGGAGACTTATGGACATAAATAAAGATGCCAAGGCACAGCAGTCCGCCGCTATATGCAGGATTGTGAATGTTCTCGTAACCTGCATCGCATCCGGCAACAGGATGCGTGTTGAGTCCTGCAAGGCAGACTGCAATGCAGGATCGGAAATGGGCGCCTTAAGATTTCGGTATCATTAATAATAAATAAATACTTCCAACACTCACACCAATTAGCCTAGCCCCAAAGTAAGCACTGTAAGGCTTGTGTTATGGGATGCTAGGGTAACGGATAGAATACATATACAGTACATATATACTTATAAACCATATTTATAAAGAAATACATATTAAACATCCATGACTGGAGTACAAATGCTCGTATTCAACATTCTCTCGAGTCGGCGACACCATGAAACTCGGCGTACACACCACTCGGCAACGGAGGTCGTCAAATTTGAAATTGCCATGGTCTGGTCAAGCTGGGAGATTTCTATGACAGTGGTGGCCAAACGTAATATTGTTTCATCAGCTAAAAACGGTCGAGCGCCAAATTCCAGTGAACACCAAACTTTCCTCTTTCATTGTTCATGTTTGATGAAAATGGGAAACAAAATTATTATATTTGGTTTGAAGTATTTTGTAAGGAGTTCTTTACAATACAATTCAAAGTGGGAACAATAGGTTGGCAGGCGAAACGCGTAAGGTTACCTGCTTTGTTAAAAGTAAGGCCTATACCTTCACCGTGGGTTGTATTGTCAATAGTAAGAACCTTAATTGGAACTGTAATTTAAAATTATGTACATAGCAAGTGAATTATATATCGGACTATATTATCAGTACTATAAACACACTCTCGTAACGTCGTAACACTACATGAATTAGTCAAGCTCCAATAAATTACTATAATGTTGTTCAATAACATCGTAAGAAACACGTCACTACAGATAACGATAGGAATAGGACAAATTAGCACAAGGAAAAGTCGGTAAATATTGTGTAATTGTTATGTATGAAAACTAAGCGTTGTTATGTGTAATGTTTTGTTGCTATGTATTATGCATAGCGTAGGTATTTTAATTTTCATTTCTATTATTAGCAAAGAGTTCACCAAAACGAATACCTAATTTACTAGTCACATATCATCATCATCCTATTAATGTCCCCACTGCTGGGGCACAGGCCTTCCCTATGGATGGAATAGGGAGATTGGGCCATGACCCACCACGCGGGCCCAGTGCGGATTGGTGGGTGCTAAGGACTGCAGATGCAGCCGGGACCAACGGCTTAACGTGGGGGCTCGATAAAGTAAATTTATGGTCACCCATCCAATGACCGACCACTGCGAAAGTTGATTAACTTCAACGATCGCAGCCGAACGCGCTAACCACTTGCGCCTTCGAGCTAAACATAAACCCACCAAATAGTTATTTCAGTTTACTATGGTCTTTTTTTTTTTTCTTTTTTAAAGGTAGCAATGCATGGTAACAAGCATGGGTTCCGCCCGATGGTAAGGAAGCGGCCACGGGCCACCATAGCCTATAGACGATTGCGATACAAAAAATATCACTCGCGCCGTTGCCTACCCTGACCCTACCCCCTACCCCGTGGAGCCCTGGAACCTTACTCACCGACAGAAACACAACACCACCAAAAGGTAGTGTTATAAGGCGAAGATTACTACATATACATACGTATAAGGGGCATACGACCCCGAGCGAAGATCCAATGTGCTCCAAGTTCTTATTCACAAAGAAGTTCCGTAACAATGGTAAGTAATGTTACTTATTTGAAAGGTCAGCTTTATTGTAGTCACAGAATTCTAAGTTGTGAGAAGAAGCTTCCCGATTTATTTTTTTAAATGGTAAGTAGAATTTTTAGAATAGACTTTCAGGAAGGACAATCCGATATTATTCGATGTGTCATAAATATTATCAATATTTTTCACGCTAATTAATGTAGGTGCGTTTATCCGTCTGTGGCAGCATTAAAATGAATTAGGGATAAAAAAAACTGAAAATAAAAAAATGTGTGCGTGTACTAGTATACACACGTAAGAAGTGAAACTTCTTTATGGCCTTATTTTTCGAAAAATGATCTACATGCAACTTTCCAGAAATTGGTTAAATAAAGTTAAATTAGATAAAGTTTAAACAAAAGGATTTTATTATCATAGACATGAATACAAATTACTGCCTATGAAACTGTTATGATTACACGGCTCAGTAATCTAAGGCACATGTTCCACCTCCGACGATGAACGATAAGCGAGTAGAAACTAGAAACGAATTGGCAGTCCTGAGTTAAAATGCACGCGCACGGCTTTTGACAGCCAAGCCAGCTTAACCGAGCGAGTATAGCTGAGCGAGTATCGCTGAGCTAGTATCGCTGAGCGAGTATCGCTGAGCGAGTACCGCTGAGCGAGTACCGCTGAGCGAGTATCGCTGAGCGAGTATCGCTGAGCGAGTATCGCTATGTGAGTTTGGCTGAGCGAGTCTTATCTTTAATAACTATTGTCACTCAGCTACAAACGAGTAGAGAGAGTTCTCGCCGGCGACAGTGTGATCATTCAGCTATCAACTATTAATATAAAAAAAGATGGCGCGTAACGGAAAAATGTGACGCGTAACCGAAAAATGTGACGGAAATTTTTTTCCAACGCCGATAAAGAAGTTTCACTTCAAAAAAGAAAGATTTACCCACTACCGACGAGTATCAGTATGTAAATCTTTTTTTTTTAAGTCGGTTCTTTTTTTTATTAAAAAATATTTTATTTTCCATTTTTAGTGTAATAAGAGATACGCTACTGCTTTGGAAGAGCGCGCGTAAGCGTGAAACCGTGGGGCACTGCTAGTATATTATATACCAAAACCTTCCCTGATAAATACGCATTTATATACCGATAACTCCATCCCAATAGGATCACTCGGACAAACATACATACAGGTCAAACTGAGAAGATCCTTTTTTGAAGTCTGCTAATAAAATATTGTGCTTCCGAGTAATGATGACTCTCCGTAAACTCACGGTAAAGGTTGCAGGAAAAGAAATTTGATCGAAGGCTGTCGGTGTGCGCCTCTGTTCTTTATTAGATATCGAACCAATATCAGGGCTCTTACACGAGAAACCAATAACCCACTCCCTTCCTCCCGCCCCCTTTTGTGATTGGAATGCGACACATGTCAAGCTGCCGCGGGCGGCATCATAATTAATTTAATTTTCATGTCCGCTCGCTCACTCGAAACATTTCCTGGTAAAAGCTGAAAGGGTGCAAATAACACTCAGCCAGTCCACCTCTCGTGCCCACCCTTCAAACAAAATATTTTGACGCAATTGAATTTACATCCAAATAGGAATTTGAATCATCTAATATTATTACTCAGATAAGTAGATTTTTTATTTAGGTGACCTAAAAAGTGCCTTACATCTAGGGTTGCCACCCGAACTTTATCATAAAGTATTGTACGTTATTTCGGGTAATTGTACTCTATACTTTATGCCAA